TTTTCATATAAAAATCATAGTTGTCCAAACTGCATTCAAAATAGATTTGTGGTCTCGGTTTAATCTCTTCTTAACATTTCAATAATTGGTCATTTTCTTCCTCATTCTTGACAACTACCGCTGATGGCTGTAATAGAATAGTTATCTGTTAAAATTGTAATTAGGGAGATATGGTAGGTCACTGTACTGACACAATAATATTGCGTAACAATTTAATTATTGTAAAGTTAAGGAAAATAATAAAAAAACTTGCATAAAACACACAACAACTTTATGGGATATCTTTGTATTTCTAAGTAAAGTATCTTAAAAACATGTTTGATAATATTCTAACTAAGCCAAATATTATCTAAAGTTTTATGGTAACAAGGCTTAGTAATTTCGCACACAGTATTTGATTCAGTACTATGAATAAAAAAAATCTTGAGCAAACCTATATTTAGACTCAGAAATCCAAATCTAAGTATGTACTTTAAAAACAATTATTTATTAATGAAACAAATCCAAGACCCATAAAGGGTATGTTTAGTGCTAAAGTGTAGTGCTGACAACAATATAATAATAACTAAAATAGAATAACTATCTTTAGATTGCTTCTATGTATATTAAATATGTTATGGCAATGTCATTTCCAACATTTAAAATTAACATTGATCACTTGAAATGGTATGAATTTGAGCAATTGAAAGCTTATATATTTGATCCAACATACCTAACATGATTATTTATACTTGTGTTCTGAAATCTGAACAATTAAATTCAACTTGATCAATTAAAATTAATACTTCTTATATTTCATGAATGGAATTTGAAGTTAGAAAACCTTAAAATATTAATTTATACATTGGTATTCACCTTTAGTAATATTTTGAAAATTTAAGATACCTATCCATCCTGTTTAGTTTGAATCCTTAGACCATTTGCTGAGAGAATCACTTTAAGCGTGACATAATAATCTTTTTGTTAAGATAATATTCTTAAATTTTGTACAATATATCCAGATGTTAGGTATCCCTTGTTTCGTGCTGAAACATAATTAATATTTTTAAGTTTCTGTCGCTCATATACACCACGGCTGGTCAGTTGTCGGGTAAATACGAAGTATAAACTCTTAATTAGAAAGAAAGAAGAAAGAAGAAAAAATCTTTATTTTTCTCCACAATCTTACATTGATATTAACTAAATATTAAGAAACAGATATATTGTCGCAAGGAAACATTATAAGATTGTGAGAGACTGGTGACTGAACTAAGCAGGGCTTGTATCTCAGACCACCAGCCTCTCCCCACATGGTGTAAAAAGTAGCCAGTAACAAGAGTAAATTATTAATAAGGACATTTTACAGATGTAACATGGAGAAAAGAGGTACCTAATTAAAATATGTAGGTGTGCAATCGCGCCGATATAACATCCGTGCTAATTATTATATATATTATATAGAAGTTATAAACAAAATACGTAACTTACGATTTACTAATAAATAAACTTACTACTTACCTTTAAGCGGCCCCATTGCCAGATGGGTTTTAATAATTTACCTCGCTATGCTTAACCATTTTCTATATTAATCTTGCTAATTATTTTCCATCCGATAAATCATTTTTGAGATATTTTCACAGTTTATCTTTTATAATATATTTTATTTCAAACGTCGACCATTTTGTTTTATTAAAAATATTTTGTTTATATATGATGAAAATTTTGACAATTAACTCTTTTTATAAATAAAATGAGTCAATTGTCACGATATTAATAGACAACAACTCACTAGGTTCACTCCCTCCACTTATCAAGACGTAATGTAAAATTTCTTAACAGAATACCATGAGATTCCAAAAATTACGTGAGTGACGAAGGGAGCGCTCTTAGTGCGTGATGGACTCACGGATTAACAGTGAGTTACAGAATCGCAGGGCTGAGCTTGTTCGAGCTGGCCGCTGACGATGCCTCGTATTAAAGTGATGTCTATGGTAGGAGCGAGCGATTAAAAATGTGCCGTGAACCCGCTCTAAGCTTTAATTTACGCTTTAGGCAGTTGTCCCTCCAACGACGAGAAAACGACTAACTATCGGCTATTTTCTCGCAGCTCGCTCAAGAAACGTACAATAGATATACTTTCCGTGTGAACAAAAGAGATGCATATTTTTTTTTTTTTATTGATAAAGCTTGCCAACGCTCGGCACATGAGACATTGGTAGAAACAAATACAAAATACAATTTTTAATGTGACAAACACTTATAGGCAAACATAGCATACATATATAGAGGTCATAAAGAGATTATTAAACAAAACAAAAACAATTGCTTATCAAAGAAAAAATTCTGATTACAAAAAACCAAACAAAAAAAAAACAAAACAATTACTTAGCAAAGAAAAAATTCTAATTACAAAAAAAAACTAAACAAAAATCCATTTTATACTGTGAGGTGAGCAACTATGTATATCCAGACCTAGCTCGTTCATAAGTATGCTTAATCTGGACATCGGTGAGTTTTGACCAAATCGCGTTCTACGGAAAGGAGGGACAAAAGGAACAATGGGATGCCGGGGGTATCGAGAGGGTACACGAAAATTAAATTTAGATAGGAGGTTCGGGCAATCAATCAGATTATTGAATATCTTAAATGCACACGATATATCAATTGATTTTCTGCGATTCTCCAGTGACAACATGTTAAACATGCATATACAAACAGTTGATCGCTGACTGTTCACACTGCCGGCGAGCACTCGCTTCACTAGTTTGTCGCTGAGCGACAAGAGATATGAAAGATAACACTCGCTCGGCGATACTCGCCAAGCGATTAGAACTCACCGAGAGAGCAACCAGGGGTTATTTCTCTACAGTGCGTATCTGAAAGTACACGTTTTTTTTAAATTTAATATGAATATCGAAAAATCATTTGAATCATCATTGTTATCTAGTTCAGACGACGATGATGATGAATTCTAAAAAAAAATAAAGCGAGTGATGCGAGTAATCGCCCGCCTTACTCGCACACTCGCTTATAGCCGAGCTACACAAATATCGGAACTACGCATTCGCTCCCCGCGTCTCACTAACTCGTTTCTAGTTCTAGCTCTACTCGTTAATCGTTGCCGGTGAGACAAGTGCCTTAAGCAAAACTACTTAATTATCAGAACTATATACAACGTAGAAAAAACGATATGGTATTTTTATAGAGCCCCTTTGCACTATATAGGTGTAATATGCATATTAACGCAACAGTAAAGGTAAATGTAATTAATTAAAAATCCTATTTTCTCATACTCGGCAGGATGAAAAGAAAACCTCCGGCCGGGACACAAAACGGCAACGTCTGTTGAAAAATTGTCAATGGGAACTATCCATTGTAATTTTACTAAATACAGTATGTTGTTTGTTGTAAAAACGAATAAACATTGGTACTCTCAGTCTGAGTAAGAGAACATTGAAATATTTTCACACTATTCTGAATCTTAAACGAGTGTAATAAAATTAAGTGTAATGTAATGTCTCTAGCTTGTTTATCTTGAATAATTATTTTCTCAATTTCTAGTTATTATGGGAAGGTAATAATGCTTAAGGTGACCTTGAACTATAGAGTGTATATGTCAACGTAAAATTGACAAACGATTATGTTTGTTAATTCGTTTGTTGTCGAATGTAAACAAACGGTGTTTTGGTGAATGTAAATTGATGTCGTCTTGAAAGTAACTCACAGCTTTAGGATGTTGAAAGTGAACGTGAAAAGTTATATGAAAATGTTGTGGAAGTAAAATTAATCTGTGATTGACCAAAGAAGTGCAGTTTGAATGATAATTAAGTTAGTTGGTCTCCAAACATAGTCTAAATTACATACATTTTCCGTGTTTTAATATTTTTTATTCGCGTGAACCTTTGTGGTCTCGTATCAATGTCGGATATTGAGCCTGTCGATCAACAATACTCAGAAATATTAGGTATTGTTAATAAGGAAGAATTTACCATAGAGTTACAAAACTATTACAGCGGGCATAATGAAAATAGTAAAAAATTTAATTGCAAAAAAATAATAAGAAAGCTAATGTTCTTTGTAACTCCAGGTGCCACAACTCGTTGACGTGCAACAATAATTGAACATTTTTATTGATGCAATTTACTTTCTTATTTTTTATATAAGGAGACTGGGGACACTTGATCCCCCCTTTTGTTTTTTGGCAATTATTTTGTAAATATTGATCAGATTTTAAATATTTTGGTACTGAAATACGTGGAATTTCATTGGTTATACTAAGTATAATAGCTAATGATATCCGTATATAAATTGACTAACTAGCACATGAAAATTTCCTATAGGAAATGATATCATGTGTCCCATATATATGTCTGACTTGATCCCCCCCTTCTGGAAGACTTGATCCTGGGGGGAACAAGTCTCCCACATTTAGGGTCATATGATTCCAATAAAGAAGAAAAGGAAAAAAATATGTTAAAATTGTTTTATCATTGATTTATTTGCTAAATAAGAAACAACAACTATGTTCCTATTATTACAGAATCTTCTGATTGAACTAAAATAACGTGAATTAATTTTGCTTTTATAAAATTAAACAATAGTTAGGTTAAATGTATTTGTAACTTAAACAGTCTTTTCTTTTCATCTATTAGCAATCATCTATTATTTTTTCTAATTTTCAATTTTTTGTCATTTATGTCTTTGCTTATTATTCAACTAATAACAATTTATATCACTTAATACTTTATTGTATTTGGGAGGCTCTAGCTGCTACAATATTATTATCTATTTTGTGAGAACTCAAATCACATGTAAATTTGTTTAAAAAGAAAATGTTGCTAACAAATATAACTTAATGTTCTAGTAAATCTTTTATTTAAAACTAAAAAAAAACATTAAATAAATTTTGCATTTAGCACAACAAAACAAAATACCCTTTTGGTTAAATTAAAGTTAAGTTATTCTTTCTTAAAGTTAAATAGTCTTTTCTTTTTGTCTATTAGCAATAACCTTTTCACTTTTTATTTCTCAATATTAAATTTTCTTAATGATTTTGGAAACATAAAACTAATGACTCTGTTTGATGATGATTTCACTTTCGGAACTGGTAGTTTTTTCACAACTTGATATTTAGCAATTGCACTAATATCGTCATTAACAGGCCACTTGAACATCTTATCATTAATTTTTTTAGCGAATTTAATGTCATATCCAGCTCGACTTTCCCTCAGTATTTGCCCAACATATCTATGAACGAGGTTCTTTTGCGAGATTAGGTTCACAATAACCCAATCTCCAATGATGATGGAGTCATTGGAGTCATCTTCATTCTCTGATTCGCTACAACTGCTACCAGAGATATCACTTTCATCAAACGCACTTAAAACAGATTCTGGCGATGGCGGTAATTCTTCATCTTCCGACGTTGTCACTTCTTGTTCTTGTGAATTTAGGTTACGTTTTACTGCTTTTACTTTCGCTTTGCAAATCTTCTTTTCTTTTTTCTGTTTTCTAGCTGCCCACTCATTCTCGATTGCCAGTTTTTCCGGTGTGTCGGTCAAAATCCTAGTTTTACCTTTTTTTCTCCCCTTTCCAGAGCCTTTTCTCGGTCCTGCTTTTGGGTGTGGTCTTATTACTTCAGGACTTACAAATGCTGATGTAGAAGGTTTTGGAACGTGAATATTGTGAGAATGGGTCGGTGTTTTCAGGGCTATCGTTATTTCTAATTTGTGAAGAACCAGCTGCATGCGGTCTGTTATTATTGTAGGAATTCATAAGGGCTTCTCTATTATTGGCCATACATATGGAAAGCAATTTTGGAGGAGATTTTGTAGAATCATTTTCCTTTTCATTATCAGAAATATCGGGAGTCACATCATCATCTGGAATTGGCACTGGTGCAACTGGCGCAACATTTTCTGCATTAAGCATAAGGGCAGGGGAAGCTGGCGCAGTATTTTCAGCCATTAAAGATTGATTAAGTAAAATAGACGGTGACACAGATGGTAAGGTTATAACATTGTCTGTTTCAGTTTGCACGTTTTTTCTGTCAGTAACGTAGGAGCTTAAATATTCGTCATCCGTGAATATATCAGGGTTAAATGGAAAAATTCCAGTAACTGAGAAACTTTTCTGAATATTTCTAGGAGTCATTGCATTTGGGTAAGCACTGCCTAGACATCCAGCCAAATCATATATGGTTAACGGCCGCCCTGGATGACTAACCATCCAATTATCGCATGCAGTATTGTAGTATGACTTCATCGCTCCAAACACTATTCGATCCAAAGGTTGTAATTTTTGAGACGTATGTGGTGGTATAGTTGAGATGGATACCATTATCTTTGCAGTAGTTTATAGAGTCAATGGTAATGTGTGACTCATGATTGTCAAATATAATAAGACAAGGGCTGTCCTTGGTGCATCTTATATGCTTTTGAAAAAATTTTAGGAAAAGTAGGAAATTTGGTCCAGTCATCCATCCACTCGGATGTGGAGCTCCTTCAGTACCCGGTGGGCCACCATCTATCATTCGTTGCTGCCAATTTTTACGTGGGAATATAATAAATGGTAGAAGGTGGTTACCTATAGCATTTATAGCTCCACATACAGTAACAAGCTGCCCACGTTCTCCAGATGTGACCTTAGACACTTGTTTAAGACCTCTACATGCTACAATTTTGGCTTATGAACTGTAGTGATTCCACTTTCGTCTACATTCCAGATTTGGTCCGGCCCAAAATTAAATCTCTGTAATAAGCTTTTCAAATTCTCAAAGAAAGTTCCAACATTGTGTCTGTTAAAAGCTGTGGCGCGAGACAAACTAGTGGCTTCGGGTACACGCAATGACAACTCTTTGTGACGATTCATAAAACCGTAGAACCAATCGTAAGTAGCTGTTTCCTGTTCAACCCATTTTGGTGGTATTTTTTTACTATTTTCAGAAGCATATTGAAATGCAAGGTCTCGTACATTCTTAGGAGTTAATCCATGGTACAATTTACTGGCCATTATTAAATAACTAGTAACAAGTTCTGTCTCTTCAGTTGACGAAAAAATTTGTGACTGGCGAATGGCGATAGTTTGGCGTGTAGTCAATATTTTCAGTCATAGCATTTTTCTTCTTTCTGACATATCTTTTCAGTGTCATAACTGCTATTCCGTAACCTTTGGCAGTACCACGAAGACTCTTACCCCCTATAACATCATTAACAGCCAACTCCAAGATTTCCTTATCGATTGGTATTCTTTTTCTTGCACCTTCTTTTGTTTTATATACTCTAGGCATATTGAATCCTGAAATTATTAAAGTATAAACATTAGGGGACACTTGATCCGGCGGGATCATATCTCCCATAAGAAAGTGTACCATGTGTACCTTAGGTACATTGAGGTTATAAAAAATTATTGTAAAAATATCTACTACTATTAACACTGTTCTATGAAACATACGTTTAAACACATAGATAATGAATAGTTTAAAATTGATTCTTATACAAAATATGTTTCCTAACCAATTGTGCAATCAAAATAAAAACTTAAAAAATAATTTCTGATCACACGAAACACACAATCATCCGCCATCTGCTCAACTGTCAAATTTGACAGGAGTACCAACTTTAGAAAGTTAGAACGTACCATAGACTATTAATGTTGCAACTTTAAAAGTGCTTTTATAGTGTTCACAGAAGCTTTGTAAATCCAGTGTATCTAGTCTCCCGTAAGGATCAAGTGTCCCCAGTCTCCCCTAGACAATTTTGTTATGTTTTCAAAAACGTTCATATGTTAAAACTAACCCATTGTTATCACGTAGTTTAGTTTAATGGTGTAAACATGGATGCACTCGAACTGGTTCCACTTGCTTTGGATTTTTGCAAACAGTTGGTTAAGCCAACATACGGGGTTTGAGTTCCAGAGGAAAAAATGCCCAAATGTGGCAAGATTACTTAAGTGTTGGGTGAACTGTGGTTTCATGTACCGTTTTTGATACTTACAACCGGTCTCTTCCACTCGAATTGGACATTGGGAACTTCATCATAAAATAGTGACAACATTTCTGCAAGGAAGTCAGGATCGCACCATAATGTATTCCTTAGGAAACAAATGGTCCGTATCTTGTTGAAATCGTCCATTTTTTAGTGGACGTCGCAAACCATGGAATACAAAAAAGCCAACTGTCCCTTAAAACTATCTATTCGGGCGATATAAATTAAGCCTGAAACAAAGTGGATTTTAATATTTTTTCATCTAATTACAAAGGAAACACAATGTATTAAGGACTTAACCATTGAATTAAATTTATATTTATAAATCAAACCAAACAAAATATCAGGGTTAGAATTTCATGATAAACTTTGGTCAGAATCGTAGTAACATATCGTTTAGTTTATTTTGTAAGAATGATTAATAATCGAGGAAGGTATCGATAGGTCAGTAAGTGCTACACGTCACTGCGACCCACTTGTTCAGCTCTCCACTCCGTCCATGTGTGGAAACGACCAATGTAATCTGCGCTCACGCAAAGCTACAACCGACCGCGGAATAAAAAGATAAATTTTTTCACTACCAACTATTACGGCATTTTGATTTACATAAATTATTGTATAAGTCTTGTCTTCTAAAGTAATTCATCCATTTAGTAAATCATTAAAAATAAAGTTAAAACTTAACTTTTTTTCTATTCTATCTATTCTATTAATAACTACATATATACGTTATAACGTAAGTATATCGTAGTGAACGTTAAAATTTAAAGTTTTGATTGTAAAAAGGTAAATATAAAAAGATACCGCCGCCGCTTATTACTTAAACTTCACAAGAAAAAGTAGACTACCGGTTTTATGTGCATGCCGGTTTTTATTCATGGTTTGGAGATAGCAATGAGAGCCTTCATTCACAATAATATTCATGAATAAAATATGCTAACGCGTGCAAAATACAGCCTAGATACTATTTGATTATTTAAAAACCTTTACAAATTATTACTTAATAATAATAATAATAATAATAATAATAATATAGCCTTTAAATTCCGAAACTCTGTCATTTTATATATCTGAACTTTAATATATTTTCACTCCAGTATATTTCAGAGTTCGGTGTGCCTCTTGGCAAAGGCCTCCTCTAACCCTTTCCACTGTTTACTATCTTTTGCGACTCTTTTTAGTGATTCAGGAATTCTTAAAGTCCTAATATTGAGGGATGCTATATATATATTATGTTTTTTTGTTAGAGGGTGGTGGTCTGATCTTCCCGCGGCGACCAACCGTGGTGGGAAGGCTTCTTGATTAGGTTGTTTTAGAATGTGTTTCTTCCATATTTGTTTTGCCTTTCCGGTTTTAGTTGTTGTTGTTTTTGTTTTGATAGGTTGCTCGCGTGTGTTTGTTAGTTTTTTGAAATGTCGGAGGTCGAAAACGATCTATCTCTTCCTATATATTGTAGTATGTTTGGTTGTAATATTTCTTTTTGTCCTGCATTGTTAGTTTTAGTCGATGTGTTTTCAAACTTGTTAGATGTGTTCTGTTTTTTCTGTGTAGACAAGTTGGGAGATACAGTTTTATCTCTCTTCCTTTTTTTCGCGCTGGTTATCCTGCATTTTTTTTAATCTCCAATTGGTCTCCTCTCAAAAAAAGATTTGTTTCCCATTATCCATTCTTCCTCTGTTTTTGGCTGTAGTTGTTTTCTAGTTTCTAGTACCTTCTTGGTGGGGTTCTCTTTTTCAAATGTGCCTTTTAATACTATAAGTTTGTCGTATCTTATAAAAGCAGTATGGCCTTTCTCCTTTTCTTTCTGTAACTGGACTTGGAGTTCCTTCCGCCTGTTAAGGACTTCAATCGGATAATCCTCCTTAATGTAGTACTGAGTATTTTCTAGACAGTATTTGTTTTTCAGAATATGTAACTTGTAACTCATGCTGTTAAACGTTATAACAACCGGTCTTATGTTATCACCTTTCTTTCCCAACCTTCTGACAAGTTCAATGTTATTTTTGTCACATTGAAATTCAAAGAACATGTTTATTATATTTACTATAATATTCTCTAATTCAAAATAAGTATTCTCACTCTCTTCTACTCCGAACATGACTAGGTTCTTTCGTCGTGAATGCCTTTCTAAGTTATTTAATTTGACTTTTTGTTCTTCAATAGTTTTTTCTAATTGTTCGTTTTTCAATTAAAATACAAATTTCTCGTGAATGTTGTTAATTATTATGTTTTTTAAATCCTCTTTCATGTCCAACATATCTTGTTTTTGTTGTTTGATGTCTTGCTGTAAGTTCAGTAACATTTGATGAATTTCTTCCATAGTGTATCAGTGCCCTCTATCCGAAGAAATATGAATTTTTCAACGAAGTAAAAATTATTATCGATAAATTTATATTTTCCTAATTCTAGAAATTTTACTAGATGGGGGCGTTTTTACGTATTTGTCTTACAATATTTGTTTTGCAGGAGCAAATAAAATCCATAAATAGTGTAAGGGCTAATTTCACCAAACTCAGATAAGTTTTATTCCAAGGAATTAACCCTGGAATAGCAAATTTTACATTTCACCAACTACTTAACCTGAGAATAAAACGTTATTCCAAGAATAAGATTTATACGCCCAATTTTGAACGAATACGGAGATATTCCTTGGTTAAAAATGGCCGCCATGTCATGTCAGCTGTCAGGATTCATAGAACACAGACATTTTGTTTGATCCCGAGTTTGTTGTGGTTGTTCCCTCAGAGTTGTTCCTGTTTTCTTTCCTTGATCTAATTATCACAACTATAGATAATGCAACGTTTAAGAAGAATTATTTACGAAAGTGACAGTGATGATGATAGCGAAAACGAAAACTATGCTGTAAGGCGTCCAAGATGGATAAAAGAAAGAAATGATCATTTCAACAACTACGACGATGAAGACTTCAGGATAAGATTTCGGTTATCCAAGGTCGCAACATATAATTTATTGGTGAAAATTGAAAACCGTTTAGAATTCATATCTGAGAGGTAAGGTATTTATTTTCTTCTTTCAAATCAAAACCTAAATAAACACTCAGGCAAAACAAAGCTTCTATGACCTGACCACAGATTACAAAGTAGGTTCCATGACAGCTTCAAACTGACGTATAATCCAACTAAAGTAAAAAGTTCCATTTAACCTTCATGTTCTTTAAAGAAATTGCACATTTAATTTAATTTGTTTTCATTATACACTCATTTGTTCGTTCACTCAATATACACTTCCACAGATAAGCAAAACGGCTATTCCAAAGAATAGCTAATCTGAGACTAGTTTATCGGATGTTTTACATGGTGAAATGTAAAGTGAGTTATCTGGGATTAAATTCAAGCGAATATGTTTATCCTTGGTATAGCTATTCTCGGATAACTACGACATTGGTGAAATCAGCCCTAAGTCAGATTATTCGAACTTGGACCGCTTAACGCTTAGTCGATACCCTTATATAAGTGGCTATCTGAGATTATGATGAACTGAACCAATGTTTGGTATAGTAGATAATTTTGTAACCAGTTCATATGGATGACTAATGTCTGTTTAATATTTGTATTTCGTTTTGCACTAAGATTTTTCAGAAGACACTTTAGTCACTTTTAGCACTAGACGTCACAACCTCACAAAAATGCAACAGTGTCATGAATCCGTTTGATTGTTGAAAGCGTGGCACGTCAGTTGAAGCCTCGTTAAAACACTTTAAAACCCTGATGTGTTTCGTTCTCTTGAGCACTGACTATACATTTATCTATTACTTTGTAGTATTATTAGACGTTTTAAAACTTATTAAAGTCGCATTGATCACAAGTAGTATTTTTTTAAAAGAAAGACAGCACGAAGCCTATGTAGGTAGTTGCGCCGCGAGCAACCGTCACGCGAGTCAAGTGTAAAATTCGATTCGAATTATTACTTAGAGGTACTTATAATGAAACCTACAGCATTACACAATATACAATTCTTAAATGTAATGCACAGCGAAGACGTAACGTTTTTATTGTTATTATCAATGCACACATCACTTTCGTTCCAAAACCGTTATTTAAAGATATTAATAATTGTACTATGGATTTATCTTAAGCACGCTTTGTGTCTTATAAGATTTTTCTTAGCGTTGGAAAGAACGTTAATATTACTAGGTAGAAAAATGAACTAAAAATAGAAATTTCGCAATAAACGCTTATCCAAAATCGATATACAGTGAAAAATTCTCTATAACGCAAAAATAAGTTCAATTTATTAGGTTTTAGCCAATGCCCATACATTAATTTCTACTTTACTATAACGAATAAAAATGCTCGGTCCTTTGAAATTATAAAGAATTTACACTGTAGGTACTTAAAATTCAACGTGGAAAGGTACGACCGACTATAAACTTCCAACTGATATACCCAATATAAAATGATTAAATTTAACGCACAGCGTAACTTATAAGTAATATTAAATAGGTAATAGGAACTTTGCAAGATAGAAAGTTGGCGTAATGATTGAAATGAAGTTGCAAAAACCCATATTAAAAATATAAAGTACCTACCTACTAGTATAGAATATTTCTACAATTATAACAAGTTTAAATTGCTATCCCCATACTACAAAGAATCATTTTTCTTATTTACAAATGCTTTAAACAAACATTAACAGTAAACACAATTTTCGAAAGTAGATTGGAGAGAATTTTAGATTTAGGAAATTTAAAAAAATGTTAGACCCTTTACATATTTTATGTGATAAATAATATTATAATAATTGTCTATATTTATTAAAAATGTGTAAAAATTAACTGTCAACTCACCTCGTTAAACACAAGACTCACGACCCATCACCTATTGCTGATCGCAACTGTGAAGAGCTTGTTCGAGCTAGCCGCTGACGATGCCTCGTATTAAAGTGATGTCTATCGCCAATGCTACACGCTCGATAATTATCGTGATATTTATCTTGTATTTTTTTAGTATACTACACACTCGATACGGATCGCGTCAGTACGACGGTAAATTTCATTGAGTACACTCGTACATTTCGTGTTACAATATGAGTAACAATATTAAGAAAGCTTGCGTTGCCATTATTATTATTATTATTATCAGTATATGCTGATATACATCAATATCCAAGACTTTGAATTGTAAACATTTTCCGCTGCAGCACCAGATCGTTTCAAATCTGTTATTTTTTAAATTATTTTCTGTAGTTTGCCTAGTTTGCATTTGAGGTGTCCCATATGGCCGATTTACACGTATTAAGTTGACTAAAAATTTACTAAATATTAACTTAATTTAAGTAACTTAACCCGTGTAAACAGTGAATTTAGTAAGAAGTTGCAAGTTAAAATTTAGTTGCAAGTAAACAAGGTAGAATAGAATTTTGTCTATTTTTCGGTTAAGTTGGTGGGCGTGGCTAATCACTTGACACGTTTGGACAGGCAAAATTTAGTTAAATTTAAGTGAAAAGCATAAGCTGGCGGAGTCATTGCAAAGCTATGCTTTTGCTTTCGGCGCTGGAAGCTCAAAAACATATCCAAAACTATTTGTCCGATATGCGTATACAACAATTAATGAACAGTAGTAGAACCCCTTCCCCAATGAATAATAGTAGCCGTTTTACTCCTTCGCCTTCTTCAAATACGTATTACGTTGAGTCCCCAGAACCTTCACAATCATGTATTGGAGCATACAATACAGTAAATCCCCAATCAGGAAGAGAAAATCCTATAATATTTTGTTCTGTGGTCGTCCATCTTGAGCGAATAAATGAGTTTAACTAATTATTTAGTATTTTTACGTGTAAACGGTTACTTAAAATTTAGTTAAGACTTGGCAACTTAATACGTGTAAATCAGCCTATACTTATAGGTAATGTTTCTAATACAAGTATGAATTCTCTATATTATTCCGCCTCCATATATGCGCGTCCTCTTCCATCGCTGGCAGCAGCAGCAGAGACTAGACGCTCGATATTTATCGACGATAATTGATACGGATCGTGGATTTTTAGATTTCTAGAAATCCAGCGATCCGTATCACGGATCGTGATACGCATGTACTACACATCGTAATTTTGGATCACGATCCAAATATCACGATAAATATCGAGCGTGTAGCATTCGCCAATGGTAGGAGCGAGCGATTAAAAATGTGCCGTGAACCCGCTCTAAGCTTTAATTTACGCTTTAGGCAGTTGTCCCTCCAACGACGAGAAAACGACTAACTATCGGCTATTTTCTCGCTCAAGAAACGTACAATAGATATACTTTCCGTGTGAACAAAAGAGATGCATATTTTTTTTTTTTTTTTTATTGATAAAGCTTGCCAACGCTCGGCACACTGAGACATTGGTAGAAACAAATATTTCTTATAATTTATAGTACATTTTGTCATTGGACTTAATATCAAAAGAAACAACATTCACCAAGTGGATGGAAGTCTTAAGATCTGTCATGGAAAGGCCCGTCCCAGTTCAAACATTAGAAGTTGAAGAAGAAGAGAGATTACAATTGCCATGGTGGAAATGCAAAAAATGGGCCATCCATACTTTATACCGACTTTTTGAAAGGTTCTGACTTAAATTCATTAATTCTATAATTTGGTAAACATTATTAAATTAATATAAATACGAGTGACACTCCCAACCTTAGTGAAGGATAGAGTATTTACTCTATTCTAGCATGTTTCACTGATTCCTGTTTGTGACTTTGAAAACACTCCAAATTATAAAAAAAATTATATTAAATAACATTAAAATTTGCTATTGTTATAGTTATATTATGGTTGCTGTATCAATGTTTTAATCTGTTATTAGGTATGGGAGCCCAGTAAATGCTCGTGAGGAGTATGTAGAGTTTGCTGATTGGTACTTGACTACTTTTACTGGAGGGATCTTAGATGTATTGTTCAGAATTCTAGATCAATATAGAAACAAGATTTATGTATCACCTCGAGTTTTGCAACAGTCTATAAGTTACATTGATCAATGGTGAGTAAGATTACAATGGTACTATTATTGTTCATGTTCTGTAATAATTTGACTGTTGTATAGTATTGAAATACAATATTAAGAATAATGTTTAGTGTGAGTCATGCTTATTCTTGGAAACTCCTGAAACCACATATGTTTGCCATCATCCAAGGTGTGCTGTTTCCCCTTATGTCATATTCTGATGCTGATGAAGAATGTTGGGTAAATGACCCTTATGAGTACATAAGAATAAAATTTGGTATGTGTTGCTCTATAATGTTCATCTAAATATTTTAACAACCCAAACTATGTTTAATGATACTAGAAATATTTTAATTTACTAGTGAGGTTCAATTTACAAATATTTGTAGATGTATTTGAAGATTTTATATCGCCAATTTCTGCAGCTCAAACACTCTTGATGTCTTGTTGTAAAAAGCGGAAAGAAATGTTGGAAAGGACTATGCAATATTGTATGGAAGTTTTGACTAGCTCAAGTGGAGCCTATGGTCCTAGACAGAAGGATGGTGCATTGCACATGGTTGGCACACTTAATGAAATTCTAATTAAAAAGAAATTCTATAAAGAGCAAATTGACTCCCTTTTAAGTCAATTTGTGTTCCCAGAATTTCACAGTCAATGTGGATTCATGAGAGCAAGAGCATGCTGGGTCCTTCACTGTTTTGCTCGTGTCCATTTCAAGAATGAAGTCCAGCTAGCTGAGGCAGTGAGACTTTCAATTCATGCACTGTTGCATGATGCAGATTTGCCAGTTAAAGTTGAAGCTGCAGTTGCCATACAAATGTTGTTAACTTCTCAAGAAAAGGTTCACCAGATGTTGGAACCGCAGGTTAAGGAAGTTACATGTGAACTACTCAAAGTTATAAGAGAAACAGAAAATGACAACATTGCAAATGTGCTGCAAAGAATTGTTTCTGTCTACACTGAACAATTAATGCCTATGGCAGTTGAAATTGCGCATCATCTATCCCAAACATTTATTAGGGTAATTGAAACTGATAGTGGGACAGATGAAAAGGCGATAACAGCTATGGGATTGATAAACACAATGGAGACTGTGCTCAATGTAATGGAAAATGTGAATCTCATTTTAAATGTTACAGGTTACATATTGTACCATGATATCATTGGTTAGTATAAAAGTATTTATGTTAAAAATATTTGTGTGGTTTAATGTAAAAGCATATTCCTGCATAAACAGCGATAATTATTTATATGTTTTTCTAATGTTTACAATTAATTTTATTTTTATTTCAGAATACTATGAAGAAGCAATGACACTTCTTTGCACTGTTACTACAAAAAGAATTTCGAAAAATATGTGGTCAGTTCTAGAAATACTGTATAAAGTATTTGAGAAAGAGGGTTTTGATTATTTTACTGATATGATGCCCGTTTTTCACAATTTTATCACAGTTGACACGGAAGCTTTTCTTTCAAATGAAAACCAATTCTAGCTATGTTCAATATGGCTAAAGCGGTTAGTTGAACAAAGTTTTTCTTGGATATTAAATTAATATTATAAGTGAACAATTGGCGAAAGTTACTACTATATCTTGCAATAAATTTAAATATGTGGCTAGTTTTGTATATTGAAAATATTCAATATCAGCATTATATTACTATGGATATACTATTTGTTACTGTAACTTATGTCCAAATGGGCGTCATGATAAATAGCAATGCAAATTTGACGTTAGAACTTAGAATGTGTATTTTTGTATGCTTAGCTTTTGCGGATGCAGAATTAATTTTTAACAAATCATTATATTACCGTTTGTGGTTTATATTATTCACTGCCATATACTTATTTAAAGAATGTTAAATCTTAAGGAACTATAGAATTTGCTTTTTTTATAATAATGTCCCATAATATATAGTGCTAATTTGCGATTTAAACTGCTTAGGTTTCTTAGTAGAATTTGATGTTTTGTTATAAAATTACATAATATGATTTTTAATACTAAGTTAAATTTATTTCTGCAGGTTCTAAACTCAGGATTAGAAGATGAGACTGAAGTACATGCAGCAAAACTTCTTGAAGTTATGGTTCTGCAATGCTCTGGAAAAATTGATAATTGTCTTCCTTCATTTGTGGAGCTTGTACTAAATAGATTGACAAGGAAAGTTAACTCATCTGAGTTGAGGTCCATGTTATTACAGGTAATATTTCACAGTGTTTTGCATACATATCTATATCTAAGTCTACTTATTGATTAAAATGACCAAAAATATAGAATAGAGAAAGGTAATTTATATTATTTAGTACAAAAAAGAAATTAAATTGCTCCATTATCATCATAAAAAGCATTACATTTTTTTCACTAGATCAGATTAAGAATTAAAATAATATTAGTTCTAATATACATATAGTAATACTTTTAGTACTAAAAATATATAATTTGAATAAATATAATAATAATAAATTTTGATATTGGTTAAACTAATATGAAAACAATTAAGTAATAAAGTTATTTGTAAATTTATAGGTCATCATAGCAATACTGTATAGCAATCCTCACCTCTTCGTTAACATTTTGATGAAATTTCAAGAATCTGTACATAGTGTATCTATTATACAGTTCTTTATGGAACAATGGTTACATGACACTGACTGTTTTATAGGGTTAGTAAGTACTAATTGTATAAAACTAAACTAATGTGAAATTTCTAAAATCCTACAATTTATTTTCAGACTACATGACCGCAAGTTGTCAGTACTCGGAATTTGCACTATTTTAGAAATGGGTCCTCAAAGGCCAAGCATAGATGAGGTTCTGCCAAAGATTTTACCAACTTGTTTAGTACTTTTTGAAGGATTAAAAAGAGCGTATGAAGCAAAAGTTGAGGCTGATGATGACACTTCCTCTGAAGAGGAAGATGACGACGATGACGAAGGTGATTTAAATTGTATCATGTTCAACAATACAACACATGCACAAAATCTGTGTAAAAACATAAGTACATATAATCATATAAGTACATTATTACTGACGGGGTCTTTTTAGTCACTAATCTGTCACCTCGTGATATATATAACCAAAAATTTATATGAAACCGAAGATTTTATGTGCCGTATAGAGTAACCAGTCTTTTAGTTTTTAAATACTCGCCTAAGTTAAAAGACTCAATGCTAAGTATGTTTGTCCTGATTTGCTCGTTGACAAATGCGAGTTCCGTAGCTAACACCGCCTCAGCTCATTGTTGCTGTAATTTAGAAAAATGTATTTGTTATCAATAAATTACTCCAATAAAATGTTTAATCGTTAAGTTAAAATTAATCCTGAAATTATATTTTTTCGCAGAGGTGCTTTCTTCCGACGACGATGACTTCAATCAAATGAACAATCAATACTTAGAAAACCTTGCTCGTTTATCTGCAAAAAAGGGCGCTGAACAGAACATCACAATTACAGCTAACATTGAATTTGAAAGTGATGATGATGTAAGCATTGATGACTTGTAAACACTAATACTTGACTAAGACTTGAATTAAATAATATGTTGGTACTTTTATAGGATGATGATGGCTATGTTGACGAATCTGCTATTGATTGCTACACAACCACACTGCATATGAAAGATTGTACAGTTGATGAGTACGTCAAATTTAAAAATACCCTATCAGGTAAATAATTTAGTTATCAACCAACCATATTTTATAGTAAAATCTCAAGGGTCAGACAAACACTTGCAAAAAAATTATCGATATTCTTTTTGTATTAATTAAATTTTAAATAAATTTATTATCTTTTAAGTGTTTGAGATGATTTGTACATCTTCATTTAATGAAGAGCTTTCATAAATCATTTTGCATTTATGAAATGGTAAGTTACCCTTTGTATGCACCTCTGGAGTAAATGATATATTACCGCATTATAAGTGCTATAAGGTTGCGTTTACATAGACTAAAAAATTTCAGCACTTTCCACAAGTGAACCTGCACTTTATCACGCTCTAATGGGTGGTCTAAATGAAGAGCAGAAAAAACAACTGAATGCCGTCTTTGTCCTGGCTGATCAACGAAAAGCACAACAAGATAGCAAGCGCATTGAACAGAGTGGTGGTATGTTATAAAAATATGAATCAATTACTTAATTAATAACTGAATTTAAAACTTCTATGTTTATTTGGTTTAATGTTGCGAAAAGTTTCAAATCGAAGAACTTCAGAGCTTTTTAATTCCATGAAACATTGTTTATTTTTGGCAGCAGTTGGACAATTTAGTTGAAGCCATTAAAACTTGCTGAAACATTTTTTTTGCCTGATATAATATATTTGTTGGATTTGACTCCACTCCGATTTCCAGAATAAGTATTCATCATACATTTAAAGTTCATTTTATTAGGTTAATTAAAATCATAGATTAGACGCATGACACATTTGATTGCTATAATGCGAGGCGAAGATCGGTTATCCAGTATTTACATAACCGATAAACGAAATTAAAAAACCAAATTAAAGCTCGGCGAAAAAATAATTGAATAAAGATAGAAGGTTAATTACCAACTTTTCTAAAATGTGTTTGGTCCATTCCTTTTTGTTGAGTTACAGAACGTTTACTGTAATAATTGTTGAATAAATTAAGTAATTTCAGAAATAACTATTTTTAAAGCTTGTTAGTTGTTATTGTTTAAATAGTACACTTAAAATACTTAATGAATTATTTTTTTATATGAATTTATTACTATAATCGTTTCTTTGAAGCCAATTCAGCGTGTGACTCTCATCCCTGAGATCATAAGTTCGAACCCCGGCTGGGCACCAATGGACTTTCTATGTGCGTGTCAGACAGAAGGCTGATCACCTCCTTGTCTACGAAGGATGCAGTCTGAGGCCAAGACTGATGCTTGGTTTTAGAGCCACTGCATGGTTATTTATCGTTTACTTGTTTAATTTTTTTTTTAATTTAATTTATTATGGATTATTTTTTTAACGAAGCAAATAAACCATGCCATAAGGAACTTAATTATTGGGGCATCTTAATGAAACAGAAAACTTGTGTTTCTATGGGGAATTATTGTTTTTTCATTATTTATTCCACAGGATACTCCTTTACAGTTCCAGCACAAGTACCAACCACCTTTAAATTTGGTTCATAAAGTTTTAAATTTCTGTTTTTATGCATGAAATTTTATTGTTCCTTTTATAATGAATTGAATTTTAAATAATTTATGTTTTATTCTAGGGATGCATCCGATACCGATGCCGATTCACCGATACTTTTAAAATTTCACGTTTTAAAAAAATAATGTAAACGCGCATTTTGTTTGATCTAATTTGTTGCAAACGAGCCACGGACTATTGTTGCCCGAGAAATCCCCGCGTTTTATTCAGTTTGTTGTCTTGTCTTTGCTTGGGGACAAAGCATTATTATTTATGTATATATGTATTTCATTTCGCTAAACACTAATTATTTATTAACACTGTTGCATTACAATATAAAAATTTTACATAATTACAACAATGTTATCATTGTTCATTTTAATTATTAACAGTTATTTATTTTATTTTAATTTAATGATTACTCTTAATTTTAGTAACAAAACCTTTCAAATTATTCAAAGTATGTGACTATTTTTTGTATATATGAATATTATTTTAACTTGATATATTTTACCTTAATTTAATTTGACGATATCTCGATAAGAGTATCGGCATCGGTATCGTATCGGCAAAAAAGCGTATCGATGCATCCCTATTTTATTCACATTATATTGTTTTCCTGTAACTCTGAGAAATACAATCGTTCAAATCAAACATGGTTCTTATTTTACCCTATCTTCATCTACTAATTATAATTACATTAAGACACAATTTCTATTGGAAATGAAATATAAAAAAAACTAAATAACTGACTTGGGTCACAGCATATGACATACTGAGGAATCTGTTAAACTCAAAGAGGTGACCAGGGGCAGTCTAAATCAAAGCCCAAAATACATGGCAAGTACGGATCACGACTACCCTAGAGGTTTGCTTGGTGTTAGCAAAAATATATATTATAAACAATTATCTTTTTTTTTTCTTTAATCAAAAGAAGTCACAAGATTCATAAACATTCCCTTTTATTTCTAACATTGTAATTATATTCATACTTTAGATGTAAGGCGGGTCGTACATATAAACTTGCATACTTTTGTTAAGGATTCATTCCTTTTTAACGCATATTTTGTTTTGCTCATTTGAATGATTTGAAGAATAAAAGTCGTATTAACCTGAAGTACGAGATTATTATATTATTTTACTTTGATGGTCCTTAAGATGCATATAGACGAAAGGCACGATTAAACTTTTAATCACAGAATGTCTAACGCAAGAATCATAAAACTCTAAGTACTGTCTCTATCTACTATATTTATTATTACATCATTTAGAAATCCTAGATTCATTTGTCATAGGTTTAAAAAAGCCTCTAAATAGCTGCGACTATAATTATTATGTTTTTATTTTATATACAACGTTGCACGCCTCCACTTATCTTAATCGAGTAATTAGGACGCGGCGGCGCGAGTTTTGGATTATACACCATACTATCCATCTTTAAAAAATACAGTCTGTGAGACTTATTCGCAGCAAATTAAAATAATTTCATACGTGTAGAAAATGTCTAAATAATGACCTCCCTTTTTTTTAAGTCCGTTAAACATGACTTAATTTATGCACATTATATTTGTGTTAGGCATAATACACTTTTTTGATGAAGTAGGTACTCGTTTTATAAATTAGGCATTAATATAGTGTTGGCAATAAACACTAATTTAATTGAGCATAAGATTCCACTCAATATAATAATATTAGTAGGTATACAATTTTTTTATATGAAAAAGTACTTTTAATAAATGGTATATTAATGGTACACTTATTACTGAAACAGGATTTACAGCTCAAACTTTATGGTTTTAGTTTCATCAGATGTTCTTTGGAAATTTAAATATCTCTGTTTGAAAATTTTTACTACACTTTTATGACACAAGAAATAAGGCAGCAGCAGCTGAAATGAACATTCAAATAGGCAGTGTTCATATTATTATACACAACCAAGTAACGGTGTGGAAAACTCGCTTAAGTTGTTTTCAAATTTTAAAGAATTCAAGAAGCTTAAAATTTATGGAACATCCCCCATACCGGACCTAGGTCTTCGTAAATGTCAGGAGTCTACCTATGTCAGCGGTTTACGGAACATCTCATGGGCCATATTTTATAAAAAAGTTATACCAATTGTATAATGATATCTGGAAGGTGACTACGTCACAAATAGTATAACATTTAATAAAAGAAAATTTCCCTAGTAATGCTGATGCTTCACAATGTAAGAAACTTTAGCAAACTGAATTCAATTAATCTTTTTCTCATACCAAACAATAACCACAATTTGAAAGATAAATGTAATAAAAGTCTCTTATTCTCTTAATAACTGACACAATAAGTATTGACACTGTATATTACTGTAAAAAAACTTAACTTGATATTTCAAATTTATTTGTATTAAGGTAGACTAATTACAATAAGTTGATGAAAAATAAAACCAACAATATTTTGAAACAATTATAATTATTATTTTAACTTTATTTAAACATTAATATGTAGATGTTATAAAAGGTGGAAAAATTTAAGCAGGGCTGATGACAAATGAGTTTTTATATACATTAAAAACTTACGAATGAAGTCATGAATAAAATTTAGTAATAAAAAATTCCCTTAATTAACATTTTAAATTCATATGTAATATTTCTCAAAAGAATTCTATGAGCCAGTAAAATAATGATAATGGTACCTACCGCCTTTTGTCTTGTAGAGCAGTTATTTTTGAGGCTGTATTACTATCTCTACATACTCCACAAAATATACTTGTAACAACATGAAATGGGCTTTGATAAAATAGATTAGAATCTTTTAACATTACATTCTTTCTGTGACAACCGATATGAAGAAAAATTTCAAGTATCATTAACATCACACACACAAAACTAGGGAAAATCATTAATGTAGGAATTGAGAGAAGCATTCTGTGACTCACAGTGTTAGAACCAGATAAAATTTTTTCCTTCAGAGTTTGAAATTTTTTAGTTTTACTCATATATCCACGAGGAAATTGTATATGTTTTCGTGAGCATTTTAGTTCTCGACCTGAATTTAGAGGAAAACTCTTATGAGTATTTGATGGTTCGCCAGTTTCTTCATTGACCTGGTACATTATAATTTCACCAGTCTCATCGTCACACCGAAATCTGTCAAGAGCAGCCATCACAATGCCAAAAACTGAAACAGTTCATAATGATATAATAAATTCACTAAAGCGAAACTAATTACGAATATGTTTCACCATACTTCATGTACTGACAGTCAATATTTTTTTCGTTTTACCTGTCTTTACATAACATTCAAAACAAAATGTTAATACATACCATGCACGATTAAATATTAAAAAATTACGGGGAATGTTTGAGTTGAGTGATCCTAAAAGTTATGGAAAATACATGTTATTAAATCATCTGAAATTAACAATCACTTAATTTAATTAATAAACACAAAGAGTAAATACTTACAAAGGCCATTTGCGTCTAAAACTTTAAGCTTAATTCATTTACGCCCTCTGAAGTTCAGCCCTTCACCTAAACATCAAGGTATATATTATGTAACGGATTACGGAATGAGAGGTAAAAGGAAAGACATAGAGTGCGTTTTCCAATTACAGCACTAGAGCGCATTTTGCGGCATAATGCTCAACGTCGAGTGTTCCAAAAAAAAAAACCCTTTTCCCCCGGAACAATTGAGCCCCCCCAAAACAAATGCTCCCCCGAGCTTCTCCCAAAAAAAACCAACGCAGTGACAGAAAATTGACCAGCCCTGCGATTCTGTAACTCGCTTCACACACTCTCAGCGCTGATTTTTGCTGTCAAATCGTTCGTTTCGGTGTCATGTTACAATTTGGTATTCTGATAAACAATAACCGCGACAAAAGCGCCGCTCAAATGAGATTGTTCACATTTGGAACTAAAATTTGGCACTGCTACACTTACGCTCCAAAATTGTTGATATTTGGTATTCTGATACATACCATTTGACATCTCATCTCATTTAAATGTAGATTCTTTACGTCAAATTAAAAGTTGCTCTTCCCTCGCTGAAATCGTGATTTACCAGTGAGGTAGCCATTTTTAGCGAAGTTAAAACTTGTTTTATGTGAAAATATTCTAACATAGGACAATCTATATGTATGTTGATTGTTGGGGTAAGTTTATAAAATAATATTTATAAATAATGTACACTGGATATGTAGCACTATAAATTTTTGTGAAACAAAATAAAGAATTTTTGAAATTGAATTGAATATTTATCAATGCAGCTATATTTTACGAAAAAAATTATATATATAAGCATTAGGCTTCGTGAAATTGAACTTTGTTATTGTTACAGAAGGCCCGTTTCCACTTTAAAAGCTTAAACCTCTATTTCATGAAATAAATGATGTAAACCATTAAAAATACTTCATATAATATCTATAGATGGCGAAGAAATTGTAGGCACGAAACGACCAATCGGTTCTCGGCGTTGGTTACTATCGCTTTTTTCCAATACCCAAGAAATTATATGGTATTGACGAAACCTTGAACATATGCTGCTGAGATGAACGAAGAGACTAGTAAATAGATATTCTAAGGTAAACATTTTGATTATTTTAGCATTTAAAATATCATTTTTATCCTAGAACCAATTTTTCGATGCAGTCTTGATCATGTCTTGTCTCCAGCTGAGATAAGTCGAACAGAAAACGATAAATAAGTTAAGATAGGTAAATTTTGTAAAATATTTGTATTTTTCTACTATACTAAAATTATAAATCTAATAATTTCAGAGATCCAAATGTTCAAAATTCCTGGTAGAAAAATTACATTCTGCCTTTGAAGAAGACAAGGCCCCTGGATATAGAAAGACACAATAGTGCAGACATTTTCAAATGATTGAATTTCGACTATCCTTCAATTTATAATAAATGATAACACAGTACAATTTTGGTTCCTATATTTTTATAAATATTGATATAACATTAAGGTTTTGGATAAAAACATTATTCTGCTTTACACAAGTATGAAATACC